AAATTAAGCTCAAATCCTACCACAAATGGTGAATAAAGTTTAAATCTGACCACAAATGGTGAATTTGGTTCAGATTCTCACCACAACATTTGAAAAATCTGCCAAGTCCTCAAATTCACCCCAAATGCACTCCCCCTCCAACAACTACTCCAACAAACATTTTATATCAACACAACATCGCACATTTGTACATTCACAATGCCATAAATTTCAGTTCTCTTATTACCACTTTGATCGTTCACTCGCGAGCTTGGTTTCACAAGTTTAATGCTTTTACACATCGGAAGAGGATGAAGAAGACTCACAAAATTAATAAGGAATGAGGAAGGAAAGAAAAGTTGTTCATTAGTTGTTCTCTAATAATCAGAATTTTCAACTAAGTGGGTTATGTTGCCAAGATCAACAAAACTATTGAGAAAACTTTTTCGTCTCCTTTACGGAAAAAAATGTAGCTAGCGAAATATAATAAACAAGAAGAGCGTTAGAGTTGACATATTTTTTTTTCTGATGAAAGCGCAGTTTGTGAAACTGAAGAACAAAGGAATTTTCAATGAATAATCACAAAATACTTGATGACATACATTTTACCACATCAAAGAGTCGTTGAAGTATATTCGGTGTAATTAGTTTTGTATTATTAAGTTTTATAGCTACGCAATGTCATAGTTTGTGATTTATGTAAGAAATATTTGTAGTAAGTACGTAAATTGTTAATAAATTAGTCAGCATGCAATGTATAGAGCATGCATGGCACTTATCATAAGAAATATTAATAAAGGGAAATTTTGAGGGGTTCTTAAAAAAATATTTCGAGTTGAACAAAAAGTTAAAGCAGCATTTACAAAGGCAATTGGAGGGTGTAAGCAGAATATAATTTCAGGGATTCCAAATTTTTTTGCTTTTAAACTCTTAAATTATGACAATTCTGGACCTTTTTGGCTACGCTTACTACTAATTATATTAAAACTAGTATGATATTTCGTAATAAACTACGGACAGCATTTAAAATTGAGATTGTATCGAGATTACAAAGCACAAACAAAACGCCATTTTGGATTCCACCATTTTGAAAATTTGTATGAAAGTGGCGTGGCTTATAGCGGAATGACAGAAAGACAAATGAAGGCTTTCATCAATAGCCAGGAATTTAAAGAGGTGGGACAAAAAAAAATTTATTTGGAAAATTCAGAGGGAAGGAGGGGATTTTTATGATTTTTTCATAAAACTCCTAGCAAAAAAAAATTATGTTAACGTCAGGGGAATTGTTCTCCTAAATCCCCCCCTCCCCCCTTGGTAACGCGCCTGGCTTTCATATTATTAATTGATTACTAGAGTCTAGAAGGAGTCTATACGGCTAATATAAGCAATCAGGGGTGTAGTCAGACATTTCTAAAGCGTATATTTACACCTTCTCTGAGCCTCCTTAATAAGCCTTAGTATGAAAAGCTTAATGAAACCTTTAAGATGCTCAAGATCAATACAACCCATAAAATTAGGTCGCCAATTAATCAAAATCCCAGACAAACTGTTCAAATCCCAAAAACAATACTCATCTCCATAAATTTTATAGCAAACTGCAATTCTTTATGGCTACGATTCTCGCATGTTGTGTATATGTCAGAAGCTATATGTTCCCCAGCATCCTCATGTTTAAAGTTTTTAAAAGATTTTTTTTTGTTTTCATAAAACATGAAAAACGTTCTCGAAGAGAATGGGAAAAGCTTGTAGAAATTATGCTTTTTGAAAATTTCTTTATTGCTCTTGTCATTCGTGTTAAGTCTCAAGGGAAGGAGAAATTTTTTACATTTTTTTCATGACAGTCTTGAATTGTGATAGTTTGAGTTAAGTTAATGGATGTTATGTGAGTTTGGCTTATGAAGGATTGAGGGGGTTCGGGAGGAGTCTAGGGAGTGAAGTACAGTTCAATCTTCAGAAATTTTTGACTATTCTTTAAGGTTGTTCCATTAGAGACGACATCAAAAATCTTAAAACCCTCATTTCATTAACATGCAGCAAAATATTAAGTTTCAATCCTTACCAAGGCTAACTCAATTTCCCTTAATTCTTAATTAAAAATCCGTCCTTGAATAATTCCTTCCAAACATGCCCGCATCTCCAAAAAAATCAACCGCAACCGTCAGCATAACAAGCATTTTATCCTAGATCAAAAATCTTTCATTAATCCTTGACCTATCAAAATATCATCATCATAAAACCTCGTCGCATTTCCATTTTCTTTCTATATTCATTTGTGGCTGCAAGGAGTGACAAGCCGAAAATATTAATGTAATTCACAAGACTATACTGACAATGACAAGAATCTTAATAAAAATCTGGTATTATAGCTAAGCCATAGAACGCATTGTTGTTTATTGTTTCATTTCCTTTAGGCACAATCCATACATTAGAGCAATCATAACGACATGGCATGACTTGAGCTATGTTGTGTATAGTACTGTTATTAAAAAAGTTTTTCATTTTTTTTTTGCTCGTTCTTTTCTTCCTTTTTTTTTTGATTTATTACTTTGTTGTTTTTGAAGCTTATGGCTCGTAATAATTGCGATGATAATGATACAACTTTTATGTTTTAATATGCAAGGCATCGGGGGTCGAATCTAAAGAAAGAAATAAAATCTCCTTGACGACTGGGAAGAAATGAAAGAGATGAACACATTTTGTGAAAGGCCAGAAAATGGATTATGATCGAGAGTCATGAAAACACTTGTTATTTGTTGAGAGCTATTATAACTTCCTCGTATTAGAGCTATAAAAAATTAATAGAGTATTTTTGATGGGAGTTATGTTTGAGAGGTGATTTGTGATTTAATTGGCTGTTGGGGTTCAAAAATCGAGAAATATTAGGGATGTAGTCAGAGGGGTTCTTAAGGTAAGAAAGTTTTACTTGCCCTCAAAAATTCTACGCTTTTCTTGAGTCCATTGTGGAAATACATCGAACATGATAATCAAAAAAGATTCGGCCACAGAGCTTGATATCTCAGGGATTGAGGACTTAGGGATTAAGAATTCAGGGATTAAGGACTTAGGGATTGAGAAACTTAGAGATTGAGAACTTAGGGATTGATGACTCAAGGATTAAGAACTTACAACTTGAAGACTTAGAAATTAAGGACTCAGACATTGAGGATTCATAAAGGGTGCATTCCTAGTAGATTTGAAAGTTGAAAGATGTGATTTGTAAGCTTCTTGAAAATCGTAGACTCTAAATTGACATTTAACTGTCACACATCCATAAATACAGACAGAAGAAGACGAAGCTAGTTCACTAGTTCGCTGCATTTAATTATTTAACAATTTTGACAATAGTTTGAAGTTATTAAGAAAAAGCCTGATATTGCAACCTTAACTCTACACAAAGAAGGATTTGAACCCACTTTAAGGCTCAATTCTCATCTTAGCAATTAAATCTACGCTCCTCCTTAGGCTGCTAGTTTGCATTCTTAACAATCTCAATCAACAAACCTAAGACAATTTTTTATGGCATTTTGTAAGTTTACATCCCATACTAACACTGCGTTTCCTTCCCACATGCTCTAAACATTCATTACAAATTATTCCTTTTCTTTACTGACGCCTTCATCTCGCTATCACATAATTACCTTTTAATTGATGATTTTTTACGTCCTCAATTTTAATTAAAATGCCAATTTAAGTACATTTTTTTTGCTCTCGTCTCCTTTTTTTGCCAATTTCTTTCGCAAAAAAGAGAGAGCCTCCTGCCGATGCTTGCATACGCTTCAATGAAATATTATTATGTGGCACAATTAAGAAGATTATGGCACTCAAAGTTGTAAAATGTAATCATTGAAACTTAATTTGCAGCCTCCATTAACGATGATGTATATTAGTACATAAAAAAATTATATTTTTCACTTAAGCGCATCATGAAATTGAGTGAGGAGGGTAAGGTATGACTGATGGATGTGGTTGATATTTTAATGATGTTGTTGAGGAGTTAAAAAAGAATGCTTTTTGGGCATTTAAACATTGAGTTTATGACACTTTTGTGATGGAATGACACTTTTTTTTTCTCTGTTAATTTCTTAAAATAGGTGCTTGATCTTGTGTATTAGCGTCTAATGCTTGAGGTATTTTAAAAGAGGTTAATTACAATTTGTGAATTCTTTACTAATGTTCGGAGAGGTTGTGTATTATTTGGTTGATGCTTTAGAGCAGTGTTTCTCAAGCTTTTTTGGTCCACGACTCATTTTATTAGCTTAAAATTATTTGCTGCATACCTAAATATTTGCGACATTCTAAATGATTTTTATGACCATTTTAAAGTTATATATTGTGAAAATAAAGCGTAAATTTTAAGTTTGAATTATTTTTCGCGACACAAAGTTTGAGAACCACTGATTTATAGAGTGTTATTATACAAGTGCGATTGATATTCAAAATATAAATAGCAGCTATCCCGAATAGCTATCATTTTGCTAGAGTTTTTATGAACCCCCCCCTCCCCAAAAAAAAGTTGTCCCTCCTTCTTCAAATTCCTGGCTACGCCACTGCTGTATGGTATTATATTAGAATTATTTAAAGACTTAAAAATGGAAGGACGGTATATGGGCTTCAGTAAGTTTTAATTCCTCTATTCAATGAAATGAAAAATCAATTTGTAAGGTTTTTCAATTAATTCCTAAATTTATTAAAATAAAAACTTAAAACTCTTAATCCACCAAACTTCCATAAAAAGTCATAAAATTTTATTACATCCAAATAATCATTCCACGACCTAAATTAACCTACCAGAAAAATAAAATACAAACTCAAGAATCAAGAATCGCAAACTCATTAAGCAAAGTGTTCACTTTTTTGAAATCATTTAAAATCCTTTTTTTGACTTGCAGCAAAGGAAAAAAGAAAAAAAAATTTTAATTACTTTAATTCCACCTCACACTTCCATCGGTTTTTTTGCGAACTAATTTAAAAATTTATTACATCCTTCATCTTATAATTGAATTTAATATTTTTTTTTGCAGATTCAGCGCAGTTTGTCCACAGCGCTTGCCAGACATATCAAATGAGACAGAAGCGTTAGAGAGAATGCCAAAAGGCAGACTAGAATATCTTAGACGATTGTTGCCGTATCTTCAAAATCAATCTGAAGATTGCCTGTATTTAAATATTTATGCTTCAATTCAAGGTAAGAAATTTTATTTCTATCAAATTAATCAAGTTAGTGAGAGAAATTTTATTACTGTGAAATGAGATCGAAGGAATAGCAGTGGTTGGGATGTGAACGTGCAACGGATTAAAAAAAATAAGAGTTGCCTTTAGCATCCCTCATTTAATATCCATAACGATGATGATTTTGTAAGCAGAAATTCTCGTCTCCTAATTTAACCCGATTCCATGGTGTTGCTCATTATTGTTATTATTATTTTTAAATTATACTCACTTTTTGGGAGCTCTGGTCGACTTGCTTGAGGATATTTTTTGTGTTTTGCAATTAAAAAATTGTGAAACGTATCTTGATGGTTGTTTACAGTCTTCTGACTCTCTCTCGCAATTTTTGCTGACGTTTTATCGACGAGGCATTTTCTCATTTTTCGTACCTCTTTTTTCCAGTAACGTAATTATAAAAGTGTTTACTTGTGGGACCATGGAGATTATTTAATGGATTTAACTCAATTAGAAAATTTAATTTTCTGCATTTCTTGGTAAGGTAAAATGTGGGACAATCATTTGAGATGATTTTTAAGTTTGATGGGAGTAGATTCAGTTGGTGCTGGAGATATATTTGGTTAGGATTTTCATACTCAAAGCTGTGAAAGCTTTTTGTAAGGTCAATATACTATTAAAGAAATAAAACTATTACACGGTTGAAGATTTTTATGGAAACTTTTACCAGCGCTCCTTAGGTTGGAATGAAGTTCGATTATGTGCTTATTTTTGAGTATGTATTGATGCGGATGAACCTAAACTCTATATCCTGGATATGTCTCTGTTTTAAGATAAATAAGAGTAATCTGACACTATTGCCTGGGCCTGGAGGTACCCTAGAAACCATCTCCTGATTTTTTCGTTTAGATTTCAGGTTGGATAAGATGCACAAGGTCCTCATTTATCACTTTAAATCACCCAAAAAACCTTCAAATTGCTTCATTTTTATCTATTTTGACTCAACTAATTCAAAACAATTTCTTTGAAGTTTTAATTAATTTAATTTAACACCAACAAAAAAATTCTAAAGAATTTCATAATTTTAAATTAAAATGTTTCCATGAATATTTAAAAAAATCCAACCTTCAGGGGCTGTTTTCAAATGACGTCCACCAATAAATAAGATTTTTCAGGCGCCTTTTGCCTGGTTACAAAGATTGTTTAAAGAAAAATTTCTTTTATTTAAAATCATCTATCACAAAACCAAAGTTGCGAAGCTGATAAATTAGTTTTTGGTCAAATTTGATCATTTTTGACCTGTACACAAAACTTTAAACAAATTATCATCCGTCATTTATGAAAAGTCTATCATTAATAAAATTTTCAAATGAAAGTTAATGCTTAATTATTAAAATGTATCTCAAGCTGGTTGATTTTATCTGAATTTTTCGAGGTCTTGTAAAATTTTCTTTTTGATTTTTTTTTTCAAAGAACTTCTCAGAAAAGTGAAGAAGACGTAAATAAAACTGATTGAGGGTAGCGTTGGGTTTATTTTCGTAAATCAAAACTTTTTTATAAGCGTTACTTCCATAAAACTGACTGATTTTTATACTGAAATGATTTGGGTTAGCATTCGAAGATGCTTTAATGAGAATAATTGTTGAAAATTCTTGAAGTTGGTAAATTTTGGATTTTTCAGATTTTATCAGATTTTTTAAAAAATTGACAAAATTGGTGTGCTTAATGTAACACGATCTTAGAGCTCCTTCGTGCTGTTATAACATTGTTTTTCCAGAATTCAAAATAAACTGAGTTATCCTAAGTGTTTCTCTAAGATAATGAATTTTTGGTGGTTATAAGCAGTTAAGCATACATTAAAGAGCTAAGCATTATTATTTCTTAATTTTTCGTTAATTAACTCTATAAAATATAATAAAATATAAAAGTTCAAAAAAAAATATTTATACTTTTAAGAAACATTGTATTGTTGAATTGCAAAAGTTTCATAAACTCTAATATTTTATTTGAAATATTCAAAAAAATCTTTCTAAATAAAAAAATATCTTGCAAAATTGTTGATTATATTTTTGAACTTTAGCAAATGCTACAAAAGGTTCAACAAATTTAAAATTTCGATTGCAAAATTAGTAATGATTAATCATAAATTTGATAATGATTTCAAACCTATTAAACATCCAAAAAAATTTAAAAAAGTAAATACATTTCAATTTGGAATTCTAGAAAACTATATTAAGTTCTTCAAAAAATTAAGAAATTTTTTTTTTGTAAATTATATGTAAAAATGAAAAACAGATCTGTTTTTGAAACCTGTTTTCTGTTAACAGATTTTTGTCGAAAAACAGCTGTTTTTCTGTTTTCTGTTAACAGGTTCCCGAAACCCTAGAGATACCGTCTAAATCTGGCTTTTAATTACTTACTTTTCTGGCCGTACTGGCTCTAATGGACTAATATGGCTCAGATAAATGATTTTTCTAGACACTTGGGCTTCCTCAAAGGTACACTAGTGTGTTGCGGTACCCAACTAGACCATCATTGCTTGATAATCAACCCTAGTCATTTTAAAATGTATCTTTTAATAATAGCTTTTCAATTGTCTTAACCCCAAATGAACCTCAAATCAACTTTTTATATCATTCACTTTCTCAACTGTCATCAACCTTACATCTCAATTTAAAAAAAATCCATAAAAATTTGAGCCATTAAAAAATACAAATAAAGCTCGAAAGTAAATGTTGTATTTACAATGTATTCAATTTTGTATTTGCAATTTCAGCTCTCAAACAATTTTAAGTGCAATTTTATGCTCAATAAATGCCAGTAATAGCAGGTGGAAGCAAACATGCTTGTAATTACGACTTGAGTACTTAATGAAAATAATTGCACTGGCTGCAATTCACGACAAAATAAAAAAAATAAACTGTAGAATTAAGTTAGGGGAAAAAATGCAAAAAAGTGAAAAATGGGTGGGTTGAAGGCGTTCAGTAACCCGTTAAGTTCTAATTATGATTCCTGTTTATGAAATAATTTTCACACTATCTCTGTTCCTTTATTTAATTTCTCCGTGCCTTTAACAGCGAAAAAAAAATATATATTTTAATAATGCAAATTTTTTTTTATTCCTACATATAAACTGATGCTCTGTGCATTAAAAAAAATTATAAATGTATGTTCACTTGCATTGTGAATGATAAAATAATGCATTTTGCATTGTTGAATATGAAAAAAAAGAGGAAAAAAATTTAATTAAATTCTAGTGCAAACGGTCAGAGTCATTTACGCTACAATAAAATGCAATATACATATTTATGTGTTATGAAATTATGTGTAGGACATAAGCAGTAGTCACTATATATAGTCAGTTGCATTCATGCTATCAGCATCCGACTTGGACAGATATAAAATGAGAAAAATAAATAAGTTTGGAATGGAATTTTATGAGGAATGAGTAATGACGCAGTTTTAAAGAGTTGTATGGAGTCCAGTGGTTGGTGTCTAGGGCTACTCGGTGCAGTCTAATTTTAAATTAAAAGTCTATGAACCACACTTTGGGATATGAATTAAATTTGACTCTGATTACCACTGTAAGTCCAATTTTCCAAGTTTCAGAAGTTCTTATTAAGTTCTTATTAAACTTGCAAAAATTGCTTATATGTCTGTCTGTCATGCAAAATTCGAAATTCAAAATCCCTTTTTCGAAAAATTCGAAAAGTCAAAATCTTAATTTATTTCATAATTGCGTGTAATTGGAACACTTGTAAAAATGTCTTATTTTTCTGTCTGCCATGCAAAATTCGAAGTTTCATACCCTGCAGTTTGAAATTTTCGAAAATTAGGAAAAAATAAAAACTTAAATTAAGCAATTTTTCATGAATTTTAGATAAAAATATTATTTTATCTTTTGATAATAAGCATAATATAACTAAATCTGTTTTCAAAACTATCAAAAACTTGAATAAAATGACCAAAAATTGTAACGGCTTTTCAAATTTAAATTTTTCGAACGTGCATATTAAAACACCCTTAGACTTTCGATAAGTCTGTCGAACATGAATTGAACGTATCAGCTAAATGCTTATTAATGCATTCGAAAATTCATTGTAAATCAAGAAAAAAATGTCAACGGTTTTTGGAAATTTGAAATTTTTGAATGTGCATATTTTAACACCTAAAAAAATTAAGGACTCGATGAGTTTTGAGGGCATTATTCAGTTAAGATTCATTAAGTCCATTAGTGTAAGTTTGATTGAAACTGCTGTAAGACTGATGGATCTCTCCATGCTTCACTGCCGACATAGAAGCTAGTCAATCGGGAATTAAGATTTTTAATGAACCTTTTCTATTTCAGAACCGACTTTTACCTTCTATTACCTTTATAAAATAGATTTTACAGCCTTTTATCCTTAGTTCCACTATAAATCTTTAACTTCCCATCTCTAAACATTTAAATTGCAGTCATCATCAATTTTAACTTCTTAAATCGCAAAATTCATCCGAAAAATTCTACCACAAAAATTTCGATACTCAATACAGCCAATACAAACATTAAAATCATTTATAACCTCAACAAAAACTAATTAATTCCACTCAAACAATATCTCAGTCAAAATGTTTGCACATCATCCCGATAGTCCAAGCTATAAGTTATGCCAAAAAAACCTAATATAGTGCACATCTCACTATTTGCAATGTTTTCAACTTCATCATTTTAATTTATTGGTCGATTAAAATAAAGTGATGCGAAAAATTCTATTATGCATGACTGTTTTTCCTGTAGAATGCAGAACTGAAGCTGACAAAAAAAAATTTTTGTTTCATGCGCATTTGTGAAATAAATTTTCATTTATTGAGCATCTCGCCTCATCAAATTATCATGATGAGCTTGCTGATGCTGATGCTTGAGCATAAAAATGCATTAAATGTTATAATTTTTGATTCATATAATGTGCGTGCAGTGATGGGAAAAATTTTCCGGGATGTTTTCATAAGCTCCAAATAGATAAGATCCAATATTTTCTATTA